GGGGGGGGGGGGGGGGTAGCGACTATGACCACGTCGTTTATTCTCATATGGTTTTTAGTGGGTTTCTGTTGATGGTCGTGTAGCTCACGCTGATTGAGCGCTCCGGAAGGCCAAGTGTGGGTGCTGGGGAAAGCTTCGGTGCTATTACGTTTCCCGAGAAATATACAACACGCCGCACCGCGCACCAATTGCCAACCAACCGGTGGAACGTGAACCAACCCCCCCTCGCGCACGCACGGGTCTGCGTGTGAACACAGGCTGGTGTTCGTCGTGTCCGACGGCGACCTGGTGGCCTACAAGCGTAAGCTGTGGCTGGCGTCAACGGCGGTGATCGTGGCGGTGGTGGCCGTACTTTCGGTGCTGATCGTCGAGTGCGTGGAGGGCGGCACCTGGAACATGGGTTGGAGTCTACGCCGCGGTGCCGGCGCGTTCGTTGGCGGGAGCGGTAGTAGTAGTATTGGCGGTTTCGACGACGAAACGGCGGCGGTTGGGGATCAAAACCGGTGGGAGGGCAACGTGAGCAGTAGTCGCGACTGCGACACAGAGTGGTGTTACTCCCGAAGCCTGCTGGGGTTGTGGGAGTACCTGCTCCTCGCGGTGGAGGCCGGGTTTTGCATGGCTCTGAGGCACGACCTGGCTCCGGCTACGGGCGGCGTCGGGGTGGAGAGCTTCGTGCTATAGAATGCGCTCCGCGCTTTAGTTCAGGCAGATGTCGCTGTTCTTGCTCAGTGGGTTGCGACAGATCCGTTCGCGCCCATTTTCTTCGTTCAGAGCCATGTCCCCGGGTTTCACGCAGGCGGCGTTTAAAGTATAGGTGAGTATTCTCTGAGCGTGATGCATGGACTTGCACCTTGCTGTCGTGACCTCTAGGCGATAAGTTATATTTTAGTCAAGACTTTTGAATGAAGCCGGTGATTGTCTCGAGGGTCAAGTGGTGAGGGATGGACCGGCAGGGTCTTTTTGAGAAGTTTCCTCTGGTGTTCGTTGTTGCTGTTGCTGTTGCTGTTGAACGATCCGGGCTTCGAGGCTGTTCTCTGGGGCCGTGTGAACATTGTCGACCACAACATAATGCCATGCAACGTGTAGGCTGAGGCCTCTACCCGTACTCTTCTGACGCTCTGCCCGGAATTAGGGAGCGGAATTCTCTCGTCCTTGAACTAAGTTATGTATGTCGTTTGTGTTGGAAGGTTGATCGCCTCCATGCTCGTGCCGGACAAGGGAGATGGTCCAGGGTACATGAAAGCAGCTGTGGGGGCGTCGGTCTGCGTTGTACATTTTTACTTGTAGAGATTCGTTGCACTCTCATGAGGTTAGTGTTTGTAGGGTTGGGAGGTGGGATGGGGTCGAGAAATGACGAGTGGTATAACGTTTACGGCGCAGAGGGGGGTATTCGTAAACATTTGAAAGCAGCTTGCAGAAATTTAGTTTCCATCGGACGGGATTCGAGAATTTATTCACTACAGTATATTTACAATTCGAAATTTGGAGTGAAACTAATGATGGGTTGAACTAGCGACGTCCAGTCACCGAGGCCTACTACGGCAATAAAGCTACGTGTGCGTCATACACGTTCATCTTTGTCCCTCAGGGTATCGAGTATTCTTCAATGATTGGAAGACCCCTCATTTGTGCTGCAGAAGTTCTCGAGCCCCCGCTTTGAACCATGTCCGTTCCTCTATCTCACCATCCCGATCTTAGGTATGTATTCAAAGTTTTTAGATTCGCTGGGCTCTTGGGGTGAGCAGCACGTCAGCCGTGTGAGCAGTTGATCTTGAGAAACGTCACACCGCAGCTGGAAGCCAACTGGGTTGGTCCTGCTCCCTGCTTTTGTTTTCATCTTGCATAACCGTTGACGACGTCTGTGCTGCTCGTCTTAGCCCACTCCAGAAGGACCACTGGTATGTCTCATCATTGCGCAGAAATCACAAGTCAATTTATCACTGGCAGCTTCATGTGACCATGACCAAAACTCCTGTGCTCACGTCTGCCTCCTACAGTGCATTCAAGTATTCACTCGTCTTGGCATCCCATCACTCGTCTTCCATCACGATTCCCCACGCCCTGAATAACGAAGAAGTATTTTCGTGTTGGGGGTCGTTGCCTCTTGCTCAACGTTGCTCTGCGCAAAGACGTTTGCGGGCCTCTGTACCGCAGCAATACTCACACCAAGGCAATGTCTACTTCAACATGAGTATTCCCAGATGTACCCTGACACGCCTATGCCGTAAGACAGTGAAAATCTGGTTCTTGGGAAGGATTTTTCTTAGTTTTGAATTGGGACGGAGACCGACAGAATGCAAGTGAATTCAGCATTTATGGCACCGTGAAGTGAAAATCTCATTGATCCGAAGGCAAATTGTGGCGTAGGACATAGATGGGATGATGGTGGAGATTCCCTACAGGAAACACCTGAATTCCATTCATAGACAATTCGTGGTTTCGCAGTGAAATTGTAAGTACTGGAATCATATCTGTGAGCTGTGAAATGGGATGGTTGAGATTCTCTACTTGTAGAGAAAGCTGGTGGATGTATGTTCGTGCAGACGATTCTCGAACAAGCGTTGATTGAGTTGTTGGCGTAAATGGTGGGCGACATTTCTACACAATTATGGTCCTCCGCCTACAGTAGATTTCAAGCGATAGTTGTCTTTCCAAGATTGCGAACGATATTGAGTCCCACATTGCCAATCTTGAGGGTCGTGAGCTTCAGGATCTTTTCCCTGAGAATGGGAGACAATTGGGCCCGAACGCTTCCTCCGCATCGTAGGAGTGCTGAGTACTCCACACTGTGGTGAGCGTGCCAGGCTGAATGAAAGGAGTGAGTGTCGCTCTCCAGCACAGGGCGTCATTCACTTGATACTGGCGCGTCAGCGGCGGGCGTGCAGACTTGACGGTACACAGGCCATATCCACAGATAACGCGCCCTTCAGAAAAAAAAGGTGATAATGATATCGGTGGGAGAGGGCAGGAAAGGGGCGTGCCCACCGGACACATGGCCGTGGCGAAGGACATACCACTGATGTTCGATTCCCAACACAGTCGTGGGACTGACCTTTCAGCAGTATCGTATAACATGTATTCACGCGTAGGAAGCACGTCTGTTTGCAACGGGGCTACAGATGAATGTTGACGATGGGGCATATATAATGAATCGAAGTACTCGATACTGGTATGCTTTCAAAAGAGCTGCATGTAGGCTCTCAAGCTGCTCGCGTAGATGGTTGACACCTTGCTTGATGTTATACTGTCGCAGACTGATACATGCATGTGTCCTGTTGGTGCAGCAAATTGGGACCCTCTGAGCAGATCGGCAACTAATGAGGGAGTGAGTACCTTTGCTTTCCAACAATGGAATGACATGTGCTTTCCTCGATCCCTCGCTAGTGAACGTTGATGTATCATACAGAGGGTAGACCTCCACGTATAGAGATGCCTGCGGTTACCCCCGATGTCACTTCCGTATTTCAAGTCTTCTCGACGAGCTATTCGCTAGAACTGCTCACCGTGTTCGCCAATAATATACCAGAAGGATTGCGACTTTTTATATATTATTACACAAGGACTTCCTTCTCTCGCCAACCCGTCCCACACACATTCGTCCGCCTCGTTCGTTCCGATTTGCTCCGGACAACTCCAAACTCTTCAAACTCGTCTTTCGATAATCAACATACAGGATGGTTGGCTTCATTTCGCGATGGCATCCTTGGTCTCCCTCGCCAACGCCTCCGGCAAGCATCACTACGCCGTGCACTTCAAGGTGACTGAAGAGAACACATCATCGAATGAACGCATGTGACGGACAACACCACGCCCCCTCTTGGACTTGCTTAACAAGCGGAGGTCGTCCCGCCCCCACCCCGTCTGGGGCGTAGACTGACATGATGCATTCACGGGTGATGGTCGCTCTGTTACTGGCAATGCTCTAAGGTGCTGAAATCTTGTAGTGTCGCCCATTTCCCCTATTGCCACGCCTCATGAGCATTTACACCCCAGGACCCTACCGTAGTGTATCGTGTATCCACCTCCTGGGCAAAAGAAACGCACTTCTCGAACTCCGTTGTTTCATCCTCCCGTCTCACTTGCAGGTTCGCGCGAGCAATCTGACGTACCTCCAGCCCTTTTCGGCCCCGCTCATTGTGGCGCATTCCAAGGTGAAATTCGGTACATGTATTCCTATGCATGCATGTACAGAATGAATATATATATATTTTTTTTGCCTTCCGACAATTGCACATGTACCTCAGAAAACTTTCACTTAATGTCTCATACTCTACATGAATATTTAACCAATACGAAGTACAACAACATATGTAGGACTTATTATTTCGACTGTCACATACATCGTAGAAATATCTCCTCTTCAATTTGAAATAAAACCAATGACAATCCTCATGGTATCCTACATGTGTTCGTAAGCTTGCTAAGATACTACCAGGTACTGCGTTGATGTCCTNACGCCAACTTCAAACGAAAACGCGTTCTACGATGCGTCTACACTCCATCCCCATATCATTGGCGTTGACTGGTCCGAGGTCGATCTTGTTCGCCTGTTTTCGGCGTCTTGACGCCCGCGCAATGCGAGCTTGTACCTCTGCACTCGCCGAGATATGGCCACCTGTGTAGCCACGGAAACGATCTGAAGAAGTCGTTCCTTGAAGACTCCTTTCAGAGCCGTCGTTCCTCCGTCCCTTCCTCCCACGGCATGTACAGTATAGTGACAGTGAATCATTCATGATCTGACCTACCATATTTCTTGCGAGGAGTCCATCTACAATGCATACCACCCGAAAGTGATGGTTGTCTACACCAGATGATGAACAACAGCAGTGGTGTTTAAGTTGAAGATTGCTTGTCGTCCCTCTTGTGTTGGTGTTGTTCCTGTTCCTCTGGCATGCTTGTGTCCGCATCGAAGTATTCCGGCCAAGTACGACGCAATGAACCAAAATATCGGAAGAGGAGTCCTTGGGTTTACGCGCGCGGGCAATCTCTTAGGAAACATTGATACAAACACAGAAAGACTGCAATACAACCACAGAAAGACTACAATACCTATTTGAGATATGATTACAGTCGAATGGGATGTGCTGAAGTCTGAACAGTAATTAGAGGGAGACCGGCTGGGTACTGGACATATTTTACAATGTTGTCGACTCCTTCCCATAATATTTTCTGATTTCATCGGGTCCATCAATAGTCGAATGTTTTTTTCCCTCGGTGCACCGGCACACGAGCGGACGCCTAAATTGTTCTTCGCTTGCACGGGGATGAGCGGTCGTGTCGTGCCCGCTGTGTGCTATACAGCAGCAGCGTTGGGCCGTCAGAATGTTTTAGCATGGCATCACAGCAGCAGTAGGGAGCGTGGGTTGTGTGACGTAGAATGTACAAATAATTAGTTGTGCGTTGATGAATCTCTTTTCGGCACACATCATGATCTCCGAACCGCCGATGATGGTGCGAGTGACAGCGAACGCTTAGGATGCAACAAAATAATAGCGCGCGTATATTGTACGCAGCACCGATTGATTGTGGTTGTATGCGTATGTGAACCTTTTCCTCGACGGTACCCTCTACATCCGAAGAGTATTGACGGTTGTCTGTCGTTGCGTGCAGTTTCTTCTGGACAAAACCGTCGTCGTCGTAAGGATGCAACAAGAACGGTTGCCCGGGGCAAGCTGCGACACCAATAGTCAATGTGACGAACCAAATTATCAGGCAGTGAGGGGTCTTCTCACCGCCGCAGACTAATGCACTCACTCTCCTTGGTCGCCTAAACCGCATCGTGAAGAACACCAGTGGCGTTGAAGAGCCGTGTCCACTGGCGTTGAAGGGCCGTGTGATTTTCCATTATTTATTCTTGTGCGGTTCTCGTGCCCCTGGCGGCGTGTTTCTTTATTTTCTTTTGTGTGCCAGGACGTTGCACTCTTCAAGGAGGGATTCCCGACCAACGACGCTATCAAGCTTATGGCCGAGGACAACTAACTCTGCTCTGCTGGTAAAGCGATTCTGGAATGACAACCTCCCTGGACTAATGACAGCTACAGTTTTTTTCCAGTGTCTGCCGTGTTTTCTCCGCTGGCGGCGGAATCAACCGTTCGCTGAATCCCCACGACTCTATATCCGTTGCCTTATGGAGGGCGTCACTCGCTTGTCCGGCCATTCACCATTGCCTGAGATTCTTGCATTTTCGCCGCGGAGAGTGGCACAGACCCATTCGCGACTGTCATGTGTTACGGGATTCGAATGTGTAGGAAGTATAACGGTGGTGGTACAGTATACAGTAGTAGTACCGTGTTGGTGAAATATCGAAAAGGCCGGGAGTAACTAACTCCGAATTGAAGGATATAGCAGGGACAGGATACTTGTAGGCCCTGTGACAGCAAACGACCACGATGATTCGGAGAGCCACTGTACAGTCGGGCAAGCCCCGACAGGGAGAGGCGAGGAAACGTAACCACCGCACATCAGTTCATCCTTGCCAGTTCGCGTTGGCTGCACGTAAACCGATACATGTACAATATCATTCAGTAGATCAATCCGTGTGTTGTACGAATACCATAAACGAGTGAACGAGACAGCGCATCAGC